TGCTGGTATCCTAATTCTTTTATGCTTAGAAGCATAAATATGTCCTTTCTAGACATATTAATTTGATGTAATTTGTTGATTAGGATCAACAAGCTCTTGAATTTATTGAAAAATCACTTAATGTAACTATGTTTTCATGGTTAAAACCTATACTTATAATTCATTATTTTTGATTTGTCAGTTTTCTTTCTTTATACCACCTCTCTATTTCTTGTGTTTTTACTTTTGCCTGTTTAAAGTCTGATGATATTTCCCTTTAATACTATAAATTGCTGGGATCAAGAATAATATTTTTTAAAATTAGCAAGTATTTTTAGGAGTATAATAGTAAACACTGTTAAACAAATACTTGAAAACAGAACGAATAAAGCAGTTTCTTATTTATCAATAGGCTTGGTAATATAGTATTAAAAGTAATTTAATTTTTAATATGGAATCACCAAAAACCCCGAATAGCCAAAGCTCTCCTGAAAAAAAAAGAAGGGAATGGAGGCATCAGACTCCCAGACTTCAAACTATACTACAAAGCCATAATCATCAAAACTGCATGGTATTGGAACAAGAACAGACATACAGACCAATGGAATCGAATAGAAAATCCAGAAATAAACCCACAGATTTATGGTCAACTAATCTTTGACAAAGGAGCAAAGAATATGCATTGGAGCAAAGAAAGTTTGTTCAATAAATGGTGCTGGGAAAACTGGGTCGCTACATGCAAAAAAATGAAGCTTGACCACCACCTCACACCATACACAAAAATCAACTCAAAATGGATTAAAGAACTAGACATAAGACCTGAAACCATAAAATATATAGAAGGAAATATAGGCGAAACACTACGTGATATGCACATCAAAGACATCTTTACAGACACATCACCCAAAGCAGTGATAGTGAAGGCAAAGATAAACAGCTGGGACTACATCAAATTAAAGAGCTTCTGCACAGCAAAAGAGACAATAACAAAAACAAAGAGAAACGCCACCAACTGGGAGAACATTTTTGCACCCAACACTAATGATAAAGGACTGATCACAAAAATCTGCAAAGAGCTGATGAGACTCAACAACAACAAAGAAAATAATCCAGTCAAAAAATGGGCAGAAGAGCTTAAAAGAAACATCTCTGAAGAGGAAATGCAAATGGCCAACAGGCATATGAAAAAATGTTGAACATCCTTTGTCATCAGGGAAATGCAAATCAAAACTACCATGAGATACCATCTTACACCAGTGAGAATGGCACATATTAAAAAAACTAGCAACAACAAATGTTGGCGAGGGTGTGGAGAAAAAGGAACTCTTCTGCACTGTTGGTGGGAGTGCAAACTGGTCCAACCACTGTGGAAAGCTGTATGGAGATTTCTGGACCTACTAAACATAGAGCTTCCATATGATCCAGCAATTCCACTCCTAGGTATTTACCCAAAGGACACAGAAACATCAATTCCAAAGAACACCTGCACCCCTATGTTTATAGCAGCACTGTTTACAATAGCTAAGCTTTGGAAACAACCCAAATGCCCAAAAATAGATGACTGGATCAAGAAGATGTGGTACATATATACCATGGAATATTACTCACCATTCAAAAAAGATAAACACATGCAATTTGCAGCAACATGGATGGCGCTGGAAGGGATCATGCTCAGCGAAATAAGCCAAAAAGAAAAAGAAAAATACCGGATGGTCTCACTCATAGCAGGAATCTAGAAAACTTAAATAAGGGACCAGGAAAATGAATAACTATAAGAAAGTGAAAATCAAAATCAACAAAAAACTATGAACCAGAGACACTTTTAGGGGGGCGGGGGCGGGAGGGGAGGGATTGGGGTCAGAATGGGGGGCTGCAATTGTATGGGGAATATAACAATAAAATTTATTAAAAAAAAAAATAAAAGTAATTTAATTTTTAGTATTTTATGTTTGTTATTTATATTAACATAGATAAGTCTGTCTGGCCTTGCTTTGCATGTAATCAAGTCAGAGCTATAAGATATTTGTTTTCCTTTTCTCTTTCACACTATTATGATTTAATAAGATTTTTTTTGCCTCTGAGAACATTGTGTTTTCAATATTTATCTCAAAAAAAAAAAAAAAAGAAAAAGACAGTGGCACCCTGGCAACCTTGAAACATTTTTGTGAAAATAAAAACTATAAAGGTTAATACCCCATCAACCTTATGTACCAAGCAGATTATATTTGAAAAGAAACTCAACGGGAAAGAAAGGGACTCCATTAATGGACATTTCCTAAGGATTAGACCAGAAAATTATAAGAAAAAATTGCTGTCATTCTGAGACATGTTTGCAGCATTTCCTGGGGTGAGTGCTGGCATCTAGCGAGCTCGGAGCAGGGCCCTGAGTCATCCCAAACTGCAGAGTGGTCTTGAGAACAGTGTGGGGAGGATCGCAGCTGTACATATTTTTGCTATTATAAGAATTAGTATGTGAACGACATTACAAAAGGAGAGACAAAAATAAAAACGCACTACTCAGACCTCAAGTGTTTTCAACATCTAATGTGAGGTAAAGTTGGGGGAGCACTCTGCCCCGAATGGAGGTAGATCAGAATCTCATGCTTGTTGTATGCCTGATCACAAAGGACAGTTTGACATTAGGGGTTGTGTTATCTTTATAGTTTTAGGACAGTGAACATAGGGGACTGAGTTCAACACATCCTAGTACTCATGGAATAATTTGGTTCTTTGTTGCCAATGAACTCAGAAAACTATAGATAGTCACAGTCAAAAGTAACCTTGAAGGTGAACACTCTCAATTTACAGAAAAAGAATTGCCTCATTTGTTTCTAACTGCATATAGCACTACCTTTAGGGTTTGTGCTAAATGTGATTTTATCTCCAGTCAGATGTGCGCAGCCCTAAGAGTTCGATATCTGGCCAGCAAATCTAACATTTTCTCCCATTGTTCTGATTCTTTGTTACCTGCTAAGCTGGTCCATCCTGGAATACATTACTGAATTCTGGGAAGGGGAGAGGCAGGAGACTACTCTGCATCTCCTTGACCTCACTGGAAGAGAGAAGAACCTTGGGATAGGAAGGAATTAACATTTCAGTATGAGAAGGCAAAAGGAGAGAGGTGAGGTCTGTCTGTCTGGAGTCCATAAGTACACATTTCATGTATGGGAAACTTAAATATAAAATATACTTAATAAACTTAAAATATAAAAGCAAATGTTCCTGAACAAAGAATTATCATCAATGATAACATTTATATAGAAATATATAGTCAAATATATATGCACTAAAAATGTATAATAAATAATATAGTATAAAATAAAACACTTAAATCTTTTTTAGGTGTCATTCATCCTTTAACATAGTGTAACTCACCATTAACATCCTGTCCGTTTTACTAAACTTTATAGAATTTAGCAGATTATAATTAGATAATATTGGAGGAGAGCTTATTGTTTGCCCTCAAAGCATTAAGCAAATTAAAAAATTAAATTACTGTATAGTTTTTAATTATCATCTTTGAAATATGTGAAAAATAACAAGTTAAATGAGTCCTTTGATTTTGGATTATTTTAACTTTTAGAATTCTCATTCTTCATTTACCTAATTGTTGTCACTGTTTTAAAAACATTAGACCTTCAGAAAGATGAGCAGTGTTGTGTAGCTTCTCTGTGACAAAACTTTGCTTGCCACTTTAAAACACAAGTATCCATCTCTGTTAGTATTTGTGTTAGGTATGCAAGTGTGGAGTTTAATGTAGATAGTGAAAGAAAACTGTAACAATGACAAGTGGCTAAGCAAGTCTCCTCGTTAATTAAACAACATGCCTTTAATTAGTCTGATCATCTGTATTGTGCAGTTATAATAGATTAATAGAAACTGGTATTTGTCTTTTGGTTTGTCAGAACTTAAAGTAGAAATAAGAAAAAGTATAGAAATCCTATTTTCAATAATTAAAAAAGGAAAGAAAATTATAATTTGTATTGAAAATATTCAAAACAACCTGCTGTTCAACAAAAATGGAACACATCTACATGATTACAGTCTTACTATCTGAGGATTTATATATGATATAGCAAATATTACATTTTAATTAGATTAGGGATAATAATTCTCTTATACAAATCAGCAGAAATAGGCTCAGCTTAACATTTCCTTTCATAAGTGTTTTCACCCTAATTTATCACTTTTCAAAAATAAAATGGAGACAGAAGGGAGCCTATTTAAGACTATCCAGATTGGAATTAATTTTGTCATTTAAGTGCATTAGAAATTGGGAGCTAGACCCTAATGAGAGTTTTAAAGCATAGTCATGGACCACATCCCAAACTATTCAAATAATTTACTTTTCTGTTTTAGAGTAACATCAGTGATTAAAAACAAAGACTGATGTTGGGGTGGGATTACATGAGTACATAGGAGTGATTTCAAGCCTGACAACTTCCTCCTATTATATATTTCCAATTATGCTAATCCTGAAGCTTCTGCAAGAATCCATTTTCCATTTCTGACTAATTTTCATCCTTTCTATATGTTATTTTTTATCAAGTTTTCAGAAATCTGCTCCTTGAATAGAAAATCATCTTCCTGTAGATATGTAGCCAAGAAGTGTTTGATTTTAACTTAATTTCACTGATGTTCATGTTTGGAAGGAAAGTACAATCTCTATAAAGGACAAATCAACTTGTATTTGTGTTTAGACCTTTGTAGTTTCATTTTATCAACTCTTAATTTTCCTCTTTGGCCACCTGTTTTTTAATTTTTTAATTATTATTTTAATTTTTACTGTAATTGTTAATTTAGCTATTTCTTTCTTGGTTACTGAAGTTCCAATAAGGTGAAAACACTTAAACACTCTGCACCATTGCTTATTCAAAGAGCATTCAGTCAGAATGTTCTATTCAGACTATAAAACACGTCAAGGTGCCTCCTTGAGATTCTAAAACATTAGCATCGTGATGGATGGCGCGTGCTTTTTGCATTTAGCTCACTGTGCTTTTCTTTCTTGTCTTTTTATTCAGTGGAATGCTTGCCGATTTCTCCACAAACTTCTAAGGCTGAGACCCTGAGGAAGTCAGCTTGAGAATGCCTTCCGAACGCTGCCTCAGGTCAGCCCTGTGGACATGTCATTGGTTGGTATAGTGAGCTTTGAAACAGCCACACTGCACATTCTAGGATCCAGCACAGAGCAGAGGCTCACCCCTTTTGAAGGATTAAGTAAGAGTCAGAATGCGTGTGAGGTTAGTACAGTAGCACAAAGACTGTGATCGAATTCTAGTCAAATTGAGATATATTTCATGAGTCTTTGAATGATTCTACTTGTTATTTTTTTCTTATTTAGGATTCTAACCTCCCTCAAATAAAAGATATATTGCTATATAGGTAAATGACTTTAAAAAAGAAACAGAAAACTATACATATGTAGGAATATTGTCCTCTTTAAAGCAATCACTTTGGGGAGTGTGATAGATGGTCTCATAGCATTTTCTCTCTTTTTTTAAATTTTTATTTATTTATTTATTTATACAAGATTGATTGATTGATACAAGCACTGGGTACAGTCAGAAGCGCTGGAGGGTGAGAGAATTCACCAGAGCCAGAGCAGGGAGCAGAGCAGGCAGAAGGACCAAAGTACACTGCTGAGGGGAGCAGCGGGCGGCAGGAGAGGTCTGCGCGCCATGTGGGACCCTCCTCTGGTGGCCGGGGAGCAGCCGGGGATCGAACCGTCGCTGCAGAGGCTGCGGGCAGCTTCGCAACCCAGCGCTCAACCGCTGCGCCACCGGGGAGGCCCAGTCTCATATCATTTTCTTTTAATGATTCATATATTTAATAGATATTTATTGAATTCTACTTGTGAAGAGAATCCAGCAGTAGAAAAAACTGATAAAGTTTCTACTCTCATCAAAGTCTATGGGGAAGCAGATATTAAAGTTATCAGACCAGTAACAATACAAATGGAGTTGTGAAAAGTAGCATAAGTGTTTCCTGGTTGAGAAAGCAGCCTCAGCAAAAACAATGAAGACATGCTCTTTTGGAAGTGATGGCTCACCCTCCCTGCCTCCACACTGTTGTTGGGTCCATTTCTCTTCACTCACTGAGCGTCTGGCACCTGGCTTACTTCTTCCTCATAAACCCTCACAACCTCCCTATGCACTCTGTCCGCTTGTAGGACCCGTTCAACTTTGTAGCCTTGAATCTTCAATCTGCTTATCCCCAAAGACCTTCACTCAGCTACCCACTCCCACTGTCACTCCTTGGAGCTTGCATCCCCAGTAGTTGCTCTACTCTTACTGTTATTTCTCTCCTTCTAACTTGACTATATAGCTACCCCTACAGTTGTTGTAACAACTTCATTGCAACATCTCATTTACTGATCCTACTTTCTATCAATCCAGCAATAACTTCTTTTCTCTTCTGATCACTCTTTTTTTTACAGTCACTCTTTTTTTTTTACAGTCACTCTTTTTTTAAAAGTTTTATTTTATTTTATATATTTTTTACATCATTTTTAATTTTTGCACAATGTATGCATTTTCATCTTGGTTATAGTCCCCATACAATTCCCACCCCCCTTGTTTTGATCCTACTCACTCCTCTCCCCTGCCCCCCAATCATTAGTGTGTCTCTGATTTATAGTTGCTTGTTGATTTTGATTGTGACTTTATTATAATTAGTATTTTTTCTGGTCCCTTATTTAGGTTTTCTTTTTTTAAAGAATTATTTATTGGGCCTCCCCAGTGGCGCAGTGGTTGAGCACTGGGTTTCGAGACTGCCTGCAGCATCTGCAGCGCCGGTTCGATCCCCGGCCACTGGGTGAGGGTCCCACACGGTGCGCAGACCTCTCCTGCCGCCCACTGCTCCCCTCAGCAGTGTACTTCATCAGTCTGCCTGCTCTGCTCTCCGCTCTGACTCTGGTGAATTCTCTCACCCTCCCACGCTTCTAACTGTACCCAGTGCAGTTATTTTTTTTTAAAAAGTTATTTATTTAATTATACAAACACTGGGTACAGTCAGAAGTGCAGGAGGGTGAGAGAATTCACCAGAGCCAGAGCGGGGAACAGAACAGGCAGTCTGTAGAAATACACTGCTGAGGGGAGCAGCGGGCACGGCAGGAGAGGTCTGTGTGCCATGTGGGACCCTCCGGCGGCCGGGGATCGAACCGGTGCTGCAGAGGCTGCGGGCAGCTTCGCAGCTCAGCGCTCAACCACTGCGCCACCAGGGGAGGCCCTTATTTAGGTTTTCTTAAGCATTTTCTCTTTTCCATTCATTTTTGATGCATTGCCTGACAAGACCTCAAACCAGGTGAGCCTAGCGATCTAAGTTTCCATGCCTGTATTGTCCAATAGAGATTGGTTCCACTAAATCTTTAGATTCAACAAGCAAAAAAAAAAAAAAAAAAAAAAATGCCCAGAGTTTTGGTATGTGTTTGTTGTCCATTTAGTTCCTCTTTTGCTATGTGAAGAGTAGTCCTTTAGCTGAGCCCAGCCCTGCTGTGTTTTGAATTCTTTTAGATGGTTCGTCGTCTCTTAACTGTTCTGGATACATAGCTGTGCTTGTGCAGTCTCTGTAATGCAGGTGAGTCAGATTTACACTTCTAGTTCAGGCTTCTTCTTGAGCTCCAGATCCATGTCTCAGAAAAGATAAACATCTACACTTGGGTGTCTTTTTTTTTTTTTTTTTTTGTGGGACCCTCGCCGGTGGCGGGGGATAGAACTGGCACTGCAGAGGCTGCGGACAGCCTCACAGCCCAGCGCTCAAGCGCTGTGCCACCAGGGGAGGCCCTCTACACTTGGGTGTCTTAAAGACAACTCAAACTTAAGCGACCTACTCCGAATTCATCATTTACTTCTTCTGCAATTATTTTCCTCTCCCACTGATTTTCTATTCTGGCATATTAAGTTGGATAAACCAGAAACATCAGACTCTTCCTAGGGTCCTCCCTTCTATTTATCTCTATATCTAACCCATCACTGATACCGCTAAGTAGCTTTTTAGACTGTTCGCCTTCCTGAAACTCTATCCCACGTTCCAGTGAAAGGGCCAACTCCATAACTCACCTGAACTGCATGCACAGCCCAGGCTAGCTTCAGTTTGGCTGAATTTCTCTGATTGCTCGTGGTATTGCATAGTACTGAGTGACCTTTTCTGTGACTTCCACTTGCCCTTAGGATAAACTGAAGAGTGGGAGCCAGCCTCTGCTGCTCAGGTCACTCTTGCATCTTGTCCTTTCTGTCCTCATGGGCCTAGTCATTAACATTCTGTAGACTCCATCTAAAGACCATCCTCCCTTCTGCCTTAGGATCGCAGCACAGCCCATTTTGCACTGGTAACTTGTTCTCATCTCTCAACTCACAGCTCAACTTTTTTTAGAAAGGCCAGATAATTTGATTAATTGTAACTGCCTTGTTACAATTTTATGAGAACTATTAACTAGTTTGGTTTGTTTGCAGATTTATCTCCAGTACCTGGCACAATACCTGGAATAGGATGAATGTTTGTTGAGTGAATGAAGGAGAGAATGAAACAAAACTATTCATTTAAAATTAAGTTCCTTTTTCCTTCAGACATTTCATTGAGCATAATACCTTCCAGCTCCTTCCAAGTTGCCATGAATGGCATGAGTTTATCTTTTTTGATTGCTGAATAGTACTCCATTGTGTATATGTACCACATCTTCTTGATCCAGTCATCTATTTTTGGGTATTTGGGTTGTTTTCATATCTTAGCTATTGTAAATAGTGCTACAATAAACATAGGGATGCAGGTATCCCTTTGAATTAATGTTTTTGTGTTCTTTGGATAGATTCCTAGGAGTGGAAAAAGCAAATATTGTACAAAAATGAACAATGATGTAAAAAATACATATAAATAAATTAAAAAATAAATTAAATTAAGTTCCTTTCCTCATCATCTTCACTATTTCTTAATCATGTTATGTCTTCCTTGTTCACTATTTTGACCATTGCTATTATATGCTAGGATCCATTTTAAAGTACTTACAGATTTTAAGTGAACTATAAAAATAAAATGAAGTTCCATTATTGTAATGTATAGCCTGTTCACTTAAGTAGGATTAAATAATATTGTTTTTAATTTTACAGAAATATCTGGGCTGTGGAATTGAAGAGATTAGGGTACTTACTTGATAGCTTATTGACAGATTATGATCAGGTTTTTTTTTTTTTTTTTGCCTGTAATTTTTTTGTCTAGTCTATTTGAGAAATGATGCCCTTTATGCCACTGGCTTATTTTTCTCTTTTAAGTTTGTGATTTCTTGTTGGCAGTCTTGACTTAAAAGCATCTGCACATTTTCTGTATATCTAAATATTAATGTTGATATAGAAATTGATTTGAATTTTTAAATTTGAAATGCAGATGTTTAAAAACCAGATAGCTCTTTTGGAATCTACATCAAAAACACTGACTGAATTTAGTCAAAATTTGCTCTATGAAAATGAGCTGGGGGGGTTGTGATAAAAAATGTTAACTATGAACTTAAAGTAGTGATTTGCACTAAAGCAGTGCTTCACCATCAGTCAGTGTACTGTGTTATGAAAATCGTGCTCTGCATTTGATTTTTTTAGTTTTTGCCATCAGTACCAGAATGAAAGTTAAAGACTTAAAGTCATGAATAGTCCTGTTCTCTGAGACCTCATTTATTTATCTCCCTGGTACTGGATCCTGACATATGGCCAATGAAATGGTTGCTCCCTGGCATCACTAAAAAGCAATCTGCTGCGCAGGGAGTCTGAGGCTTCCTGTGCTGTACCCTGCAGTGTGGGTCCTGTGAGACAGAGAAGCATGCTCACCAACAGCCTAATGGGGCGCCTGTAGAGTTCATGGGGAAAGAAGTGGAGGGACACTCCGCCCAAAAACCTTGCAGACTGTCCAATAGAACAATAATGCAAAACATATATATGATTTTAAAAACTCATGTGGTCACATTTAAAAAACATAAAAAGAAACAGGTATAATGCAGTGTAACCATGTATTTTATATAACACAATATACCCAAACTATTATCATTTCAACAGGAATCAATATAAAAAATATTGACATATTTTGCATTCTTTTTTACACTACGTCTTTGACATCCACTATACATTTTACACTTACAGCACAACACGTTTTGGACTACCCATGTTCAAGCACTTAGTAGCACACTCAGCTAGTGACAACTCTATTGAAGAGTGGAGTTCTAGGGGCTCTTCTAGAGTGAAGATATTAGGGATGCCTTGGCAAAACCCTATGTACTCACCTTTGAATTTTGAGATAGCAGCATTGCTTCCATGGAAAACCTCTTCAAATTTTAGGATGATCCTCAGATTTATGTACTCTTGGAAAATATGACTGCTATTTTATATTTTATTCAATAATTTAGGAAGTTTTAAGATTATGTTTTTCTTTCTTTTTTGTTTCCCGCATAACAAAGGGACATTGCTCTTGGTTGGGAGGTTCAGTTGGTTCATTTGATATGTTATAGATGTCAAGGAAACTGTTGGCAAGTCTGTGTCTGCTTATAGATGTAGTATAGCATTGTCTTTAATTCACCTCCCTGGTTTATGATTACTGACTTAGTCAAATGGGCCGTAACCTTCCATCTGTGTTGTGTGGCCACACAGGCATGAACATTAAGAGGGATGAGGCTCTTTGCAGATTTACATCTGAGAGTTGAGTGGGATGTTACTTTTAAAATATAATAATGACTTGTTGATTAATAGACCTTTATTTCCTGCCAAATGTCGGGAGTATTTGTTTCTGCTTTTAAGGATTCCTAACATATTGGTTCCAAAATATTTGGAATCTTGTGCCAAGCTTTGCCTTAAATATTTAACATGTTGTTTTCTTTAAGCTTGAATATTTCAAGCCCAGCTGAATGATCCTGTGAAACCATGCAGCATTACAATTGTTTTAGAACTGTGCCCTTTGTTCTTTGCCAAATTTCAGTTTACAGCTGCTCTTTCCCTGGCAAGATTTATTCGCTGTCAATAGATGTCTGAAATGCAAATACTGATTCAGTCTTAATAAGGACGTGAATTGTGGTGCTATATTTGGAAAATGAGTAAGGAAACATTTTAAGGCAATTATTTTAATATATTCTTCTGTTCCACTACAAGTAAAATTTCAAAATACATTTATTTAGCATTTAAGGTACATTAAAATGGGGAAAAGCTATGAGAGTTTGGAAATAATTTTTCTAAGGTTATAATAATTAAAATCCATTTTCTATTCTCCAACTTATCTTACTCATTGTGCAAAAATAACTTTTTGAAGCTTGATTTTAAATACATCTTATCACTCACTCATGTCACTATGTTGATATACCTTATTTTTGAAAGGCAACTTTGATTTTGAGATTAACTATGCATAATATAAATGTAAAATTAATAAGGACTTTGTGATTTTTACCCCCTCAAGCATAGATTTTTGAAATCTTTACAGTGTATCATTTTTTTTTGTATCCTAAACAGGAAGATAATTACATTATCATGTTTTTGGTGATTCTCAAATTGCCTGATATTAGATCTTTGGTTTTCTTCTATATAAAACAGAGATAATACCTCTCTCATAGCATTATAAGAAAGATTAAATGAATTAATAATTGTAAGCACCTAGGATTAATTCATGGGACAGTGTTTTGTATTTGTTACCTATATAAAAATGTCATTCTTTTAGGAAAGATTTTTTTAAAGACTATCCTAAAACTTTACTTCCCTGATATAAGTGCCTATTACAATTCTATTTCTTCATTTATTTGAGTGATGCTAACTAATATCCATTCTAGGCTTTGCATATATATATTTGTGTAAAAAAAAGTTGTTTATGCCTCTGCATGCAGTTTCAAGCACTGATTTTAAAAGTCTGCCTATTGCTACAGCCACTGAGTATTTGATGACAGTAACCACTTCAAAATGCTCTGCTGCATGTCAACTGAAAATAATCCTCCCACCTTCCCATGAAAACTTCCTATATCATTACCTCCTGTCAGGGTTTTTTTTCTTTCAATAGTTCTGACATTTCAGAAGTTCCCCAGTCAAAAAGGTCCAACAAAACTAACTGGCTGCACTATGGCATTTCACAGGAAGCATTTAGTTCACTTTAAGGTGGTGATTTGTGCTGAGCTGTAATTTACCAGCTGACTGGCCCAACAGACTGGGGAGAGGCCTGTCAGATAAACCAACCATGCAGGCGAGGCTGGTGGTGACTTTCTGACTCCCCTGAGTATCTCTTTCAACATTCACTCAGAGGAATGTACTGGACGCAGGAGTTGTCAATGAAGATAGATGATGCTCTGTCCTCCCCATGGTCTCATTACTCTGCTTCCAGAAGAGTTCACAGGCCAGAAACACAACTTGATGGCCCTTACTCTTATCCTGGAGTCACTTCTGACTGGTACAGCTCACTCATCTTAGTCTAATGCCAGTTCTGAGATTTCTGATATTTGGAAGCACTGTAGGGATTTTCATAGATCTACGCTGGAATTGTTTATAGCTATCTACAAATTCAATTGCATTTTATGCTTATGGTTTTACTTTTATATTATTTTAGTAAGATCTGGGTGTTCTAGTAGGAGTTTTGAATAAAATAAAATAAAATCATATAGTCTTTTATAAATCTAATACAGTGATCACACATAGACATTGATATGATGTTACTATAGATGTGCTTTACTTAAAACCTTAATTGTTTTTTCATTTACATTGTCATTTTTTAAAATGATTTATTTATTTATGCATGCAAGAACAGGGTTACAGGCCAGAGGTGTGGAGGTGAGAGGACTCACCAGAGACAGAGTGGGGAACTGAACAGGCAGAGTGACTGAAATACACTGCTGAGGGAAGCAGCGGGCAAGACAGGAGAGGACTACTGTGCCATGTGGTTTGGCTAGGGATCGAACTCATGCTGCAGTAGCTGTGGATAGCTTCATAGGTTGCATCTTAACCCCTTGCGCCACCAGGAAGGCCCCCTACAGTGTCATTTTTTTGATGCTGTTCTTTTGGTGCATGATTTCCCAAGTTTAATAATAGGCTGCTATGGTTCACTTCATTACCTTTTACATGAAATAGTTATTGGCAGCCCTTTCCCCCTAATCCATATTTGGTTAGTTTTGTTTTATTTATTAGTTGAGTATCGTATCCTGTAGGGTAATGTCTTACATTTCTGGTGTGTCTTCCATATCCAATGGATTGTCTGCTGGATCAGGGCGTGGTGATGATCATATTCTGAGCTTGTGCTAACTTGGGTGGTCCAAAATTAAAGGAGGGGTTGGAGATTTGGGTGGGAGGTCACAGAGTGGAGAGAGTCACGTAGCATGTAGATGCACATCCAGAGAGAGCTGTGCACTATGAGATATACACATACCAAGAGCACAGAGGCTCACAAGTAGATACTCGCAGGCCTACAGACACAGGTCAATACACAGAAGCAAATGGACATGCACATGAACACAAATTCAGAAAGAGAAGCACTACTAGGAAACAGAGACCGGTGTGGGGTGAGTGAAAGAGAATCAGAGAAGTGGAGATTGAGAGAATGGTGGTGAGAAAGAGTGCACTGGAATCACATCCTACATAGTTGTCGAGGGACTGAGGGAACATGAGGCCTGGGAGAGAAATGCTGACCTGGTGTTCTACTTTGTAGTATTCAAGAAATGCTGACAGGCCAGAGGCTCTGCCACTCAGAATCTCACAATGATAGTGTGTTGGCAGCACTGAACCAGCAAAGAAGTGATGGCATCCTCTGCGACGTCACCCTGATTGCTGAGGAACAGAAATTCCACGCTCACAAGGCAGTGCTGGCAGCGTGCAGCGACTATTTCCGGGTAAGTAGATCATTTGCTTGTTTCTGTTAAGATATCAATAAACAGAGGATGTACTGTCATATGACCAGCAGCCAATTAGATGATAGTTCTCATGCTGTAAATGTTGGGGGCAGGCTGTGTTTAGTCCTGGCTGAGATCCCGAGACCCATTGGGATCCTCGCAGACCCGGACGCCTGTACTTCCCTCCAATGGAGAGCAGGCTACTCCTTTGCATGCCAGCTGAGGGCTGTTTGACACTTTACCGCCTCAGGATAATGTGGTATTGTAGTGCTCCACAGTGGGGGTGCAGGCCAAAGGCAGGATATTTCTGGTTTCAGGATTAGAAGGACAATATGCCCTAAACTAGAATTATGTTTGTCTTCCTTGTGCTTTACCATACTGATATACCTGGAAACAGTATCTTGTCTCAGTAATTTCTGTATCTCTCGTAACATTTATAATGTTGCCTCAGGCTTAGTAAGTGCTCTGCTCAATAAATATTTATTAAGTGAATGAAGAAATGTTTTCTAATTGTCATAGAATTCCATGTGTTTCAATTCTTAATATCCTGATTATTAAATTATGCAAATTATTCATTGACTTTCTTCTTTCTAGTATGATCTGTTCAAGTTAATTAAATACTTTTTCATTAATTAGATTTTCATTTTGCTATCTGGCAGATTATTTTGAACCTAAATGAAAGAAATTAATTTGAAAGTAATTGTCGTTCTGACTCAGGAGATGTGGGTCTGCCAGACTGAGGAGATGCTCAACTTTGATGTAAACTGTTCTTTACATTGCTCTGCAAGTTAAATAGCAACTTTTCCTGCTTAAAATATGAATAACAAACAGTTGAGCACAGAGTACTATGACTTCCTGTGATTGTCAACAATTTAAAAGGAAGGGTAAAAACATATTCTTGAGCCAAGTAATAATACTTTTTTGCAAAGAATAAAAATTAGTGATTGATTTCAATAGTGTGGGTTCAACATGGCATTAGTCAAATGCTATAGCTAAGTCAGACCAGGGCTTCTTTTATTAAAAGTGTAAAACTGTTGGAAGGAAGAGCTGAAGAGTCAGAACTGAATTTGAATACAGTGGCAGGAACTGTATCTCAGTGTTCCCAATTGTTTATCATGGTGCCTGGTAAATAGCAGTTGTTCTACCAGTTAATATTTATTGGGTTCTTCATTTTCTCCACTATCTATTCTTTGAAATAGGCAAGTCATCTAAGTTCTGGGAATGTTTTTTTCTCTTTCAAAGGTGATTATAAAGCATAACTCTGAGAATAGGTTGATCTAGAGATTTAAATGAGATCAAGTGCATAATGCACTAAGCACTGTATTTGACTCACAGTAGACTTTGAATAAACACTAGCTGTTTCACTCTGTAGATTAACTGGTAATGCTCTGCCTGGATATTTGTGGGAAGAGAGGAGTTAATCTTTAGGCTCACCTGGTTGCAGAGTCACCTTTTGATGGGTCAGAATAACTTTTGGTCTCATTCTTACCTGTCTTTTTGTTTTCTGAATCTGACATCTCTTTCCTTCTTGCTTGGAACTTTTTGGTAGCCATCTAACTTTTTTCCTTCTCTGGCTGCCCCATGACAAACCATTGTGCAGATAACCACGTACTTAACTTTTGTTCCTCTGCTCAGGTTCCCTGGAGCTCCTTACTGAATGTCTGCCAGATGCCCAGAGAATCCCTTCGTGCTGTGCCATTATTGTTCATCCTCAGCTTTGTTTTTCCATCTGTTATCTTTTCATTTGATGTTTCAGCCATTCTGTTTTCCAAACATACTTATTCCACCTTAAGACCGCTTTACTTCTCATTCTAATGACCATTTCTGCCATCTGTAACCTCCCACTCACCTCTTAGTCTACTCCATACACAATCAACAAATGTGAAGTTCTTTGGAAGCATTATCCAGTCTACCCTCTGCCGCTCTCTAAATTCTTTTTTTTTAAAGAAATTTTTTTAAGATTTATTTATTTATGCAAGATCCGGGGTATAGGCCAGATGTGCAAGAGGGCGAGAGGATTCACCAGAGACAGAGTGGGGAACAGAACAGGCAGACTGACGAAGTACACTGCTGAGGGGAGCAGTGGGTGAGACAGGAGAGGTCTGCCTCGCCATGTGGGCATCTCCGCGGCCAGTGGGATCAAACTGGCACTGCAGAGGCTGTGGACAACTTCACAGTGCTGCACTCAACTCCCTGAGCCACCAGGGAGGCCCAACACACTCTAAATTCTTATGGAAGATTCCCCTTTACTAAAACCTTTAAGGAATTAGAGAGCAATGAAAAGATAACCAAGCGAATGGGAGAAAATATTTGCAAAATGCCTACTATGTATGTGGTTCATATCCAAAATATATAAGCAATTCACACAATTCAATAGCAAAACAAAAATCAAAGCCAAATTGATTAAAAAATGGATAGAACAGATATTTTTCCAAAGATGTTATACTAACATTCAACAGATACATGAAAAGATGTTCAACATCACAAATCATCAGGGAAATGAAAGTTAAAACTACAATGTGATACCCCTCACTTCTATTGGGAATGGCATTTATCAAAACTAGAAAAGATAAATGTTGGTGAGGATTCCCTGTTGGTGGAATATAAACTGATGTATTCATTTATGGAAAACAATATTGAGTTTCTTCAAAATATTAAAATATCAATAGATCTATCATATGATCCAGCATTCCTGTTTCTGGATATATAAAGGAAATGAAATCAGAAATTCAAAAGACATTTGTACAACTTTTCTTGCAGCATTATCAATGATAGCCAAAATGTGGATATCAATTGCTAAATGAATAACAAAAATCAGTATAATGTCATGTATCAATAATGCTTTGGTCAACAATTGAATAACTATAAGAAAGTGAAAATCAAAATCAACAAAATACTATGAACCAGAGACACTTTTTGGGGGGTGCGGGCCGGGAGGGGAGGGATTGGGGTCAGAATGGGGCATGTGCAGTTGTATGGGGGAATATAAAAATAAAATTTATTATTTAAAAAAAAAATGGATACATATATGATGGTGATCCCACTAGACTTATACCATGTAATCCAGGGGTGTGGTTAAACCATCTAGGTTTGTGTAATTACATTCTGAAGTATGCACAACCATAACCGCCTATTTTTGCATTTTCCAGAATGTATCCCTACTGTTAAGTGATGCATGACTATATATATAATGGAATACTATTTAGTCATAGCAAATAAGGAATTCCTGCTATTTGTAAAAACATGGGTGAAACTTGAGGGGATAAATTAAGGCAGAGAAAGACAAATACTCTATGACTCATTTTTATATGGAACCTAACAAAGCTGAACTCATAGAAACAGTGTAGACAGGTAGTTCCCAGGATGGGGGTAGGGGAAATGGGGGGATGTTGGTCAGAGCGCCCAAACATCTAGTTATAAGATGAATAGGGTCTAGGAATCTAATGGCCACTGTAGTTAACAATACTATAGACTTGAAAGTTGTCTGAAGAGTTCCCACCCCACACACAGGTACCTGGGAGCTATTGAATATATTAACCAACCTTAGTGTGCCCACCATTTCACAATGTATAAGTATATCAAATCACCATCTTTATATCTTAAAATTACACAATATCAATTTTATCTCAATGAGACTGGAATTCTTTTATAACAGGAGTGAAAGATTATGTTCACGCCTTGTAGACCTTTTTAACCATAACTTCCCTGAGATGGACTGTGAGTAGCTGATGGACTGCTGAAATCCATAAATGTATTGATGATCAAAATTGTAGAAGCAGATATTGTACTAGATGCAGCAGGAGAATTTAGGGGTCTTATGATCTAGAGTGTGTGCATGTTGGGTGGGAGGTGTCAAGTCAGGCTTCACCCCACCTCCCCTTGGAAGCCTCTTTGACCATGGGGACATGTTAGTTACAGGGCCCAATGTGGGCAGGCCTGGGCTGTGGGCCATCCTCTAGTTTCTGGAGGCTGTTGTTGAACATTTGCTATCTCCAGCTTAAATTTCCATGAGCGCCTACACATTCTGGCCAAGGAAGCAGATGTCTTGACTGTCTCACATAGCTTTGCATATGTGATGATAAAGTGATTCAAATATGACATTTTGGAAAGTTAAATATTTGAGCATCATTTTCCGTTAGAGCCTGAGTGTGCTCTGCCTATGTAATTTTTAGATTTGAAAAAAGAAGATAAAGTCTATGATAAAAAGAAAAAAATCTGTGTATTTTATAACTTACATCCTCTTTAGTCACTGATTAAATGACACAAAAACTATTAAAGGAAGTATATAATATACTAGTTTCTAGATGCAAAATGATCATAATCTGGCAGGAGCTACAGACAGTTGGTCAAATGACTACAACATATTGTGACTGGTATTAGTGGTTTGGGGTTGTGTTTGGAAACTAGAGCCTTGTTTTTAACTCTCTTCCTCTCCTTGACATTTTCAGTTGATAACAACCATAGTAATAATAATAACTACCATTAATTGAGCATTTATTGTGCTATAGGTACTTATTTTAAATGCTTTATGTGTATCAACTCATCTAAAGAAACCTGTAAGACTGGCATTATTATTATCATCATCTCCATTTTAAAAATAAAGAAAAGGAACCACAAACTAAAATACTTTACAGCAGGGACATGAAGAGCAGTTAAGTAAGAGCTGATGGCTGTTGAGAAGAGTTTTTGTGTGAGGAACAGCTTGGAGGAGGCAGAGTGGAGTGGACATAGTAGTTGGAGTTGACAGGACTTCAAGGGATAGACTTAAGAATGAGTGAGGCAGATGTCTGCCTTGAGGATGTGGGGTGGAGAGAACAAGGGGGTGCTCATGCTCACTCTGGCCTCAGATTATAGAGAGTTTTAGGAAAGGTAGCTGCAGGATTTTTGGAGGATGTTGTTCCATTGAAGGAGCAGGTAAGGAAGGCTGTGTGTGCAGACCTTGCGTAAGGTTTCCTAGGAAACAAGTTAATGTCTTCTTTGTTTTTCTGGTCAGTGCATCA